TGGCAGGTTAGGACTGATCTCTTTCTGCCACTCCAGGAAACACAAACCTGGGGACGGACTGACGTGTTACGCCTCTTCTAATGACATTTTTTTCTTTTTCTTTTCTGTAGGAGAGAGAGGAGAGACCCTGAAACACACGCCACCTATCTTTGTGGGGAGGGATAATTGAAGAGCACCAAACGTGAGCATCATGTGGAAACGTGATCGCCAAGTTTCTCTCTGGGAAAGGATCTGGGATAGATTATACCTTGAAGTCTCCGCAAACGCTTTAGTGGAAGAAATGAAATTCCACCTCCCTCCCGCTCTATCTCCCTCCTCCCTCTCCCCGCCCCTCGCTCCCTTTCCTCCCGCCTCCCCCTCACCTCCCCCCCCCCACCCATCAAGCTAAATCCTACTGGATACAAGGCGGAAAACGGTGAACACCATTCACAGAACTGGGTAACTCCAAGGAACTGAAAGTTAAAGAGAGCGATTCTGTGTCTTTTAATCAAGAGCAATGCTTCTTCTCCCTGCCATTGCTCCCATGCCCAGATGCTGCAGGCACCTTCACTTGGGTAGCTTTTCCTGCAGGGATTCTAGCAGGACAAACTCTTTTTTCTTTCAGATGAGCAAACCATAGCTCTCAATTATAGGTAGAAACTAAACACTGCGTTTGCATGGGGGAAAAGGAACCTCCTTGACTTCTGATCACTATGTTTCTGCCGTTTGGTTGTGATTCGACGCTCATCCATCTTATTTGAGCGGTCTGTTAGATTTGGTGAAAAACGTGCTATTTGACATTCTTTCTGTTTTGTTCCCAGATATGTATCATGGGGTGAAAAGGCTTTTTCTGTCTCTCTTCCCCTTTTGGAAGGGAAGGAGCTAGCTAGCTAGCTAGAGGGACTGAGCGAGCGGCACTAAACTTGTGGGAATAACAAGTTTCACAGTCCAAAAAACCAGGGAAATAATAATAATTATAATAATAATTACAATAATATTAAAACCAGACTCCACCTTTGCACTAAAAGGATTGGTTATGCAAATCTGGAAGGGCTTTCCTGGCAAATGCAGCTTTCTACTGTATGGTTAATTAAATCATCACTCAAAAGCCTTCCAATGTGACGCTTCTGTCGTAATCCAATCAGGTTACGTAGGTCCTAAACAAGAAAGATATTTTCCACATCTGGAAGTCAGCAATTTAGCAAGTACTGCACATTATTAACCAATTCAGAGCCCCCTTCCCAAGGGGATTTTTTTTTGAAGTTTAAGTGTTCTTAACCAATGCTCTGCTGTTTTGTTAATCAAAAAGCTGGTTTGCACTGCACATAATTGGAAACTAATATAGAAGTAACTAAAGACAGCCAAATTTGTGGATGGTGAGCAAAGGCGTTTATCTGAAAGGGGAGGTGGAGGGTGATCTCTGAGCCTTTATCAGTTCATGCCCAGCTCCTCAGAGAACCCACATACAGTTCCTTCTCTGGAAGAACTTTACATAATCTCAATGTAAAGATGAACTTCAGATCTTACATGTTTGTATGATCTTTCTGAAAGTAAATGTGGAGCTGCCCAAGGGCTGCATTAGCGGGCTCTGTATGAATTTCCCTGCTTTGACAGAGTTAAATCTATTACTGCACTTTTTTCCCCCTCCTGAAGTAAACTGAAACAAATGGTACACTGATCCGACACTATACTTTTACTTACATTAAGCTAAGATAAACTGCTCTTGAACTGTGCATTGAATGTATGCCTAAAGCAAGAATTGTAATGCTAGCAATAGTCACTAGCAATTGCCCTCAAAAATGCTCCTGATCAGAGCACACCTTTCTGATGATTAAACATTGCAAAGAGAGAAAAATCAAACAAGCATTTGCAGACGATCGCTCCCTCAGAGACCTGGGGATTATTTTTATCTGTTAATAAAGCTACTCCTCGATTAAAAAAAAATAAAATCTGAACGCACTACCCTGGCAATCATCCGATCATACGATTTTGGGGGAAAGAGGGAAGATTGAACAGTTGGTTACGACATAAAATTTGGACACATCTGGGGACTGTAACTGTCAATGCAACTAATGAATATAAACTGAGTGTTATTAGAAACCTGAGATGTCTTATTGTAGGCACATTTTAGAGCAACAAGGACAAAATCTTTTTTAACAGTTCCAAATAAAATCCTCAGCTCAAGTCAGTTTGTTTTCCTGCTGCTTCTCTGTTGTCATTCAGCGAGTGAAGAGCTGACAGCCTTCAATCAGTGGACATTACTACCCTACCCGACCAGGTACCTACTCAAACCAAGTTAAGTTTCTACCAGCTCAGGTATATAGGCGAAATTAAGAGCAGAAACTTTATCATGTTGGTCACACTAGTGTACGGGACCTAATGAAATAGTTAATGAAAAATGTGTCTGTGTATATCTTATAGGAGGCTCTCGTAGAAATATTAAAGAGCAGCTTTCTGAAGAGCCGCCAGTTATATTTTGAAACTTAATTGTTTTAAATGGATACATGATGAACTGATAACAATGAACCCTGTAATTGTGCATGTGAGAGCAAAGGGTCTATTGCCCTTTCTTGGGGGTGAACTGGGTTAGTAGTGCTAAAACTTTTTAGCATAACTATTGATTGAATGTCAGAAATATTTTGCTGGAGGGTGTATGATCTATCTCCATATATAACGATAGCTACATAGAAGCAGAGATACACCGATACAGACAAATGTGATACTATCTTAATAAAGTATGTGGCATAGTGCAAATATCCTGAAATCAGATTCAAAGTATTATTAATTTGAATTAGATTCTCTCAGATGCAGAACACACATTATAAATCAAGGGCACTCTGCTAATTCCTTAAAGAGTCAAAGTGAATTTAGATGCATATGTTTTAAAAAAGTGAATGCCAATTACCGAGTCGTCCAATTTCCAGTCACTCACGTCCTGTATAGAAATCAAGTTCTTAAAATAAATTAATCCCATTACAAACGCCTTACATATTATTCCTGAAGTTCCAGATTATAAAATGAAAGGATGGGGAGATGGATTAAAACAAGCTCTATTTTAACCTGCAATAATGCTGCGATCGATTTTTCATCATATTATATCTATCTAATACACACACACACATCACATACAGAGCTTTGACGGAATCACAGAGACAAAACAAACCGTGTGGCTATGTTCAGAGGCTTTAGGGAACACTTTTGCATTGTCGAATAATCTCTGGTCATAATTTTGTAGGCTCTCCTCCACCGCTCAATCTGACAGTTTCTGTAATTCTTAAAGCACCCCCAGCACACAAGGATCATAGAGATAAAATGCTCTGATCTTCTCAGGCTTGGCACAACACTCCAGCCTTTATTATTAGTCTGAACATTTTAAAAAATGCGTTATATAGGGGTTGCTATTTTTTATTTTGACCAGAAGACACAAACATTTAACAATCAGTTAAATCCCACTGAGAAGGAATTTAACCTTAGTTCAGGCGATGATTTCCTGCCTTGGACAGGACTAATATTGGGCGTGCAGCTTCTTTAAGAGATGGAAATAATGACAGTGGCTATTGATATTGCCTTTATTGGGGGTGGTGCTGGCAAGGCAGCTCTCAGATTTTTTCATAACTGTAGAAAACAGATTGCAATTAATCAGCCCCCTCGACACAGCCTGAGATGAAGAGTCTCTGCCTTTATTTTAAAACTTTGCAAATGTGATGCCTTCCCCTAGCCGTTAAAATGAAACTCCAACCCATTTTTTTTTTTTTTTTTTTGCCTAGCACAGCCCAGATATTTGCACCAGTCTGCCGGTGGGGTGGATCACACCCCGTTCCTAGGCCGGCTCACTGGGGAGAGTTCCCTCCTCCCTCCACTTTTCCTGTGTGCTGCAAAGCGAAAGAGAGGAAACTTCGGAGCACACACCCGGGTCCTGTGCTGTATTGCTACAAACCGAGCCTGACTGATGGCACAAATGCAACCAACGCTGGCGGGGCTGCTACCTCCCCTTCAATGATTTTCCCTTTGTCAATTGCATCCCTCACACGTGAGGGGCCATGTGAGCTCAAGACCCCTTCTCTGTCTCCCTGCACCAGCGCCTCCTCGCCCAGTGTCTGCTTTATCACCACGTGAGCTCGGCCCCCCGTTTCCGGTTTGTGGGGTCTGGCTACTAGCCAGGGGGCTATTGGCCACTGGTGTGTTGGTGGCGCAAGCCTCAGCTGAGGTGTTGCTAGAGGCTCATTATCATGAGAAAGGGGCCGCGAGGGGAAGTAGCCCACGGGAGCTGACAGGCAACAGCAGCGTAAAGGGACGCAGGGAAGTGGGAGGGTTTGACAAACTCCTAAGCAGGGTGTGTGGGGGAGGCTCACCCCCTGCAATGTGATTAATTATCAAGTGGGTTAGCTAGGCCCAGAAGAACCTTGGCCTTACTTTGCTAGTAATGCCTCTCTGTGAAACGAACCAGCGAGGATGGCAGGGGAAATCTCTCTCTTGCTCTGGAGCAAAGGAAGGGCAAAGAATGTGGGGGGTAACTTTGTTTTGTTGCAGGGCCCAACCCGGAAAGGTGGATTTGGGCGAGAGAGAGTCGGAGAGCTGCTGGATGTCGTTTTTGCTCCTTGCAGTGATTTTCGGTTTCATCTCATGAAGTTAGTTTTAATCACAAGTAGCAAAGGTGAGATCCCTGCTTTTGCTGCACATGGGTCCCTATGGTCTGCCTTGTTGTGCAAATTTCGTATTACAGTTTGGAAAATAAGAAGGGTAATTTGCACACTAAAAGTACCTGAAGTTAAACATCTAAATCGATAGATAAGTAACCAGGGCTATATCTAGACTGGAAAAAATAGGCTGCATTGAAAAATGTGTTTGGAGAACATGCTTTAACTATCACAACTGAAATACTAACACAGGCAAGAGCTTAGCATTTGTAAAATCTGTTAGTCTGTAGTGGGAAGCCTATCAAGACCAAGGTTTTGAAAGCTGTTAAACCTTACTATCCTAGGGCACATCTACACTGCAGGGCAAAAGTCAAATCAAGATAGGCAGCCTCAGCTATGTCAATTGCACAGTTGAAGTTGAAATAGCTCAGTTCGGTTTTTGGTGCAGTCTACACTGCAGGCAGTTGAAGGAAGAACACTCTTACTTCAACTTCCCTTACTCCGCATGAGATGAGGGTTACAGAAGTAAGAGTAAGAAGTCCTCCAGCTCAACATTATTTCGAAATAACAGCTTGCTGTGTAGATGTGCACTTTGTTAATTTCAAAATAATGCTGCAGTGGGGATGTGCCCCTCCTGTTTAAGCAGACTAGATCTATTTGTCTAGTCTAGGCAAAGGTTGGATATTTCTTTCAGCCATCACATTGCCACAAATTATGAATTTTCTGAGATGTGAAGGCAATATGCAGATGTAGTAGCTAAACGTGGCCTGGTGGGAGAACATCAGCTTTGCTCCACTGTGTCTAAAGCCCCTGTTGGGGTTTCATATTGTGGAGCTCTGGAGGACAGAACAGAAGCAGAGATAGGAAGGAGCCAGGGAACAGCTGCTGGAAATTGTATGCTCTGCTTGGGTGCAGGTTTATTTTCAAGCACAAA